TCGCATCTGCTAGAAAAATGACAGGATGGATAATGAGAACCTTCAAAACTAGGGAGGCCAAGCCCATGATGACACTCTTCAGGTCACTGTTCTATCTAGGCTGGAATATTGCTGCACTCTAACAGCACCTTTCAAGGCAGTGAAATTGCCGACCTAGAAAATGTACAGAGAACTTTCACGGCGCGCATAACGGAGATAAAACACCTCAATTACTGGAGCGCTTGAGGTTTCTAAACCTGTATTCCCTGGAACGCAGGAGGAGAGATACATGATTATATACACCTGGAAAATCCTAGAGGGACTAGTACCGAACTTGCACACGAAAATCACTCACTACGAAAGCAAAAGACTTGGCAGACGATGCACCATCCCCCCAATGAAAAGCAGGGGTGTCACTAGCACGTTAAGAGACCATACAATAAGTGTCAGGGGACCGAGACTGTTCAACTGCCTCCCAGCACACATAAGGGGGATTACCAACAGACCCCTGGCAGTCTTCAAGCTGGCACTGGACAAGCACCTAAAGTCAGTTCCTGATCAGCCGGGCTGTGGCTCGTACGTTGGTTTGCGTGCAGCCAGCAGCAACAGCCTGGTTGATCAGGCGCTGATCCACCAGGAGGCCTGGTCACAGACCGGGCCGCGGGGGCGTTGACCCCCGAAACTCTCTCCAGGTAAACTCCAGGTCCAGGTAAACATAACAGAAGGAGAATATCTTAATCATAACACTCACCAATTTGACTGGAGATTAATGTGTCATGTACAGGACCCCTTTTGCCTACATTTATGAAAATTTTACTGGCCAGAAATTAAACATAAATTAGACAACTTATCTGAGGTTCCTGGAGTTGTCCTGTCCTGTCGCCTGATATCTCAAGTTATGCAGGAATGCACATCCAACAATTTCGCCTCCTATTTGAGAGGTGTCAGCCCAATTTTAACCTCTAGAGCACGAAAAATCTTTCCTATTACACTAACGTTGTATCCAATTCAAAAACCAAAATGGCGACCCTCCTGTGCAGACGCAGGCTTTCTATGACATAAATATTATTAAATACATAGGCCATCTATTTACCTAAAAATTTACCGTATTTCCGGAAAATATAACAGATTTTCCCCACAGTGTCTTTGGAGTATCATGGGCAAACTTATGACTAGTTGGGATTTATTTTTTAAGTTTAAAGATTATATTTCGGGGTTTTAATCATGAGTGAGTGATTTAAATTTGTGAACCACCAGGGGGTTATCATGTAGTTAACTTTGTCGGGGGGATCTGGGGATAAGTTTTTCTAACTGTAGTTTTTTGAAAGTGTGAAGTGCCCCTGCATTCAGATTTTCAGGTGGGGTTTTTTCCAGATTTTATTCCTTTGAAAACATTAAAATTTTTGTAAATTTTTGATCCTTGTGGAAGGGCCATTTGGGCTGGCTCCACTCAGATTTCATACATTTATGGAACTCTACTTCCTGGGGTGAGCCAAGCTTCAACCCATGACAGGGTTTTTTCCCCCCAAAAATACCAGGCTGCCAAAATAAATATCGTACCTTTTACATGATCAACTCCCTCAAAATTTTTTACTGAATTCAGAAAATTAGCCAGGCAGGAACGGCTCCTTGTGAATCCATGCTGAGTAATCATAGATCAAAATATGCTAAAAAGAGGCTTCTTATAAATACTAAATTGACTAGAAATTTTGCCTACAATTGAGGTCGGGCTTATTGGGCGGAATTTTTGACGGTAATGATTTTTTCCACTCTTTAAAAACAAAAATTTACTTTTAACCATCTTCCACATCTAGCCACTACACCTGTTTGAAGCATATATTAAAAAGGGTTTTGCAAAAGGTTCACAAATTTCCTTTTCGTTTTATTAAAAACCCGGAAAAAAAAACTCATCGGGGCCCTGAGATTTTTTTTCCTTTTAATTGGTCAACATTTTTTTGATTACCGATCCCTAGTACTGTGATATTACAATAAATTTTTGCTTCAGGCCCACAAAAAAAAAAATATTTTAGGATATCATTAAATCTTGTGTAAAAGCCAAAGGGGAAACATTTTTAAAAAACAAAGAGCAATTAATCCTTCAGTAAGATTCCAATTTTAATTTTAAGAATTTAATATCCAAAAAGGGTTTTCCTTACGCTGGTGAGGGGCTTTTGATCCGGGGAATTTTGGATATGTGCCCCAGTTTCTTGAATTAAGCCTGAATCCTTCCACATCCCTCCCCACGCTCTATAACCTACTTTTTTAGCGCTTCCCCCCTTGAAATAATAATAAAAAAAATAATAAGAGGATTTTAACTTTTCTCTAACCTTTGTTTTATATACCGGGAAAAAAACCTAAATTCGGGTTTTTTTTCGAATTATTTTCCGTGTTAATTTCATAGTCCCGTTAAATTTTTTCTGGTGGCACTAGTGGGGGTTGTGGTAGTAGTTGGTGGTGGGAAATGAGGTTTTCGGGGGTAGTATGGTGGTGATGGTGGGCAGGACCTTTGAAGGGTAGGGTGGTGGTGACTGTAGTAGGGTGGTAATAGTGGTGGGGGGGTGGTAGCATTTTTTTGGGGGTGGGAAATGTAAAATAATGGTGGTGGTCTTGTAGGACGGTAGTGGTAATATGGGGGCTATGGGGGGTTTGGGGGTATGATAGTGGTGGTGGTAGTAAGGACTAGGGGTGGGGGCGTAGGGGTGGTGGGGGAAAGGGGTTGTGATGGAGGGGTGGTGGTTTATGTTGGTAGTATAGTTTTTGGTTGGGGTGGTAGATAGGTGGGGATAAGGGTGGAATAGTAGTAGGGGGGATAAAAGTATAATGGTGGGAATTTGAGTAAGGGGTGGTGGAATAGTGTATAAATGGTGGTAATTATAGTAGTGGGGGTGGTAATAGTGTGAAATGGGGGCAATAGATGTAGTAATGATGGTGATGGAGTAGTGGTGGAGTGATGAGGGAGCGGCGGGGTAGGGGTGTTTTTATAGTGGTGGCAAGGGGGTTTGGAAGTGGGGGTTTTGTTAGGGGTTGTAGAAAGTGGTGCTAGTATGTGGGGGTAGTGGGGTAGGGGCCCCCCCCCTTGGATCACGGAAGAAAATCAGAAGCAGATGTAATAACAAGACTTTGCAAAACATTGACAAATCGACATGGCGTAATAGCCCAAAAAAAACGTGCTAAAGGGAATAACGGGGAAAGGGGGGAATGGATTTTCAACTTCCTAACAAAACGAACACAAAAGTAGTGGTCAACAGAGTTAAAACGAGGGGCCATAGTGAAGCTCTTTTCCCCAAGGCACAGTACTCGCCCCCATCTTATTCCTTATCCTCATATCAGCAAACAGAGATATACACCACAGCACCCTATCATCCTTTTCGATGATACTAGACGCATGGCTGTCACTGCTGAGGACGCGGTTAACCTCCAAAAGATATAAAAAAAGTTTTCCATGGGCAACGGGAAACAATATATGTTCAATGAGGACAAATTCCCAAATACTCCGTTAGGAAAACTGGGGGGATAATAACAGAACAGAGTATACTACTGACTCCGGCCATACAATAAGGGGAAAAAAATGAAGGGGCCTGGGTAGAAGTCGAGGGTCCACTTTCAAGGATCAAACATGCCACGACCACGGCAAAGAAAAGGGATGGGTATAGAAATTTCAAAACGAGAGATGCCAAGCCCATGATGACCTTTTCAAACACTTCTTCTCTCTAGGCTGGAATCTGCTGTACTTAAAATCTCCATACAAAGCAAGTGAAATCGCAGATCTAAGAGTGTACAGAGATCCTTTTAAAAAAATGCACTAAAAGTTCTGTCCCAAACACCTTAACTACTGGGGAAACCCTTTAAACACTTTTACTTGTACTCGTTGGAACGAGGGGGAGAGATATATCATAATCTACACTGAAAATCTTGGAAGGGAAAGGTCCCAAACTGCAACAGAAATCACCCCCTACGAAAGTAAAAGACTGGGGAGGGGATGCAAAAGGGCCCCCAATAAAAAGAGGGGGGCCATTGGACACTAAAGAAAACACCATAAGGTCCGGGCCCAAAACTGTTTCAACAGCCTCCCATCAAGCATTAGGGGGTTGCCAAAAACCCCTGGGTGCCTTCAAAGGAGCGGGCAGAACCAAAAAACGGTGCCGGGTCAGCCGGGCTGTGGCCGTACTCGGGCTGGTGCGGCCACAGTAACAGCCATTGATCAGGCCCCAAAAACCATCGGGAGGCCGGTCCCTGGACCGGGCCGCGGGGGCGTTGACCCCGGAATAACCCCAGGTAACCTCCAGGGAGTGTTGGGGGTGGTAGTGTTGGTGGGTTTTAGTAGGGTGTTATAAAGGTGGTGGGGGTGCGTTTTGGGGGTGGAGATGAGTGGTGGGAGGTTTTGGGGGTGGTATGGGGGTGGTAGTGGAGTATGTTGGGTTTATAGTGGTGTTAGTATGGGGGTGGGGGGAGTAGTGGTGGGGGTAGTATAAGTGGTGGGGTAGTAATGTGGGGTGGTAGTAGTATGGTGGTGGTAGTATGTGGTAGTGTATGGGGGTAGTAGTATGGGGGTGGGAGTAGTTGGTGGGAGTAGTAGTAGTGGGTGGTGGTAGTAGATGGTGATGGTAGTATAGGGGGTGTAGTGTAGTGTACGAAATGGTATATAAACCCACAAGATGAGAGTAAGACACATGTGCAACATCTGGTATCTTTTTTTTTAACGTTTCGCCACCAGTGGGAATCGTGGGGAATCCCCAGACATGGTGCTGTTCGCACCTACTCCTAGGGTTTAGGGCGATTTCCTCATCTTCTGTAAATAGTTTACTGCTTCAGTTATGTCCTAGAATTTGTATTGATAAAGCCACTGGATGGCGAAACGTCTACAATAAAGATACCCAGATGTTGCACATGTGTCTTACACTGGTAGTAGTAGTGGTGGTAGTAGTAGTAGTGGTGGTGGTGGTGGTGGTAGTGGTGGTGGTGGTAGTAGTAGTGGTGGTGGTAGTAGTAGTGGTGGTGGTAGTAGTAGTGGTGGTGGTGGTGGTGATAGTAGTGGTGGTGGTGGTAGCGTGGGTGTGCGCAGGGTGGAGGTGCGCAGCAGTGTTGGGTGTCACTGTGACACGCAGGCGTCCTCGTCCAGCACCTATTCTCTCTTCTCCAGGACGCTGCTCTCTTCTACGTATGTGAAGCCCCTTCAAGAGTAAGTACACTTTATCTATACTTGGCGCTTGAGGCACTGCCCGTGCCGGGGAAACTACGACTTGTGTTTATATGTGTGTTTGTGAAGCTGGGGAACATGGGCGGGTATTTCCTGGTGACCTGTCCGCCATGTTGGATGTTGTTAACTAAATATGATCAATAAAGTATGGTGGAAGCTCATCGCTCCTTGACTTTTGAGTAGGTTTGCAGGCCAGATACATTGTTTATGTGGTTGTTGTTCCGAAGATAAATGGCCGTGTGCATTTGGCCAATTTTTGTTTGTTAATCTATGGAAGTTTGAGGACCTCAGTGGAAATGTCAGATAAATGACTTGGGTTAACCAACACCAGTATTCTCATAGATGTTAATAATAGTAGTAGTAGTAGTAATAATAATAATCTTTATTTCTGCAAGTGCAAAATACAACTATTAAGGTCCTGTCAAATACAGAGAAGAACGATGGAAGACGGGAAGGAGTTTGGGGTAATTAGTCCCTCAGCCTGGAGTCGGTGTGTTCAGTCCATCAGTCTTGAAGGACTGATAACCTCAAACTTCTCATCTTCCACCATTCTTCCCAATCGGACTGAAGAAGCCACTGGCTGGCAAAACGTCTCCCGAATAAATATACCCAAGTGTTGGACAAGTGTCTTGTCTACCCATATGTTGCCCGAGTATCCTCATAAACTAGTTAGTTTTCTAAATCATTTGTACACTATTATAGTCCTAGCTCACATCATTGGCCTAATATATAGAGCATTATGGACAACTAAGGTTGGTCCTGTCCTCTTGGATGCGACCCACAACAGTTTAACACTGTAACTATCTGCTAGATGACTAGGGTGGCAGGTGTGAGGAAACATGGTTGTTCCATCCGTGCCAGGGATCGATCCCAGACCTGAGCTGAGGACGCTATCAAGAAAGCCATGAGCACCGAGTTATGAGCATTTACAGCTTTCAGATTGGTTAGGAGATTCTGAAGAGAAGTTGCAGAAGTTGGTGGATGAGTTTGGTAGGGTATGTAAAATAAGAAAATTGAAAAGTGAACATAGGAAAGAGTATGATGAGGATAACAAAAAAATTAGTTAATGAAAGATTGGAGGGAGAGAGTATGGAGGAGGTGAATGTATTCAGGTATTTAGGAGTGGACATGTCAGCGGATGGATCTATGAAAGATGAAGTGAATCATAGAATTGATGAGAAAAAGGTGAGTGGTGCACTGAGGAGTCTGTGGAGACAAAGAACTTTGTCTATGGAAGCAAAGAGGGGAATGTATGAGAGTATAATTAAAACAACGCTCTTATATGGGTGTGAAGCATGGGTGGTGAATATTGCAACAAGAAAGCTGGAGGCAGTGGAGATGTCATGTCGGAGGGCAATGTGTGGTGTGAATATAATGCAGAGAATTCATAGTTTGGAAATTAGGAGAAGGTGTGGGATTACCAAAACTATTTTCCAGAAGGCTGAGGAGGGGTTATTGAGGTGGTTCGGACATAGAGAGGATGGAACAAAACAGAATGGCTTCAAGAGTGTGTAAATCTGTAGTGGAGGGACGGCAGGGTAGAGGTCAGCTTAGGAAAGGTTGGAGGGAGGGGGGTAACGGAGGTTTTGTGTACAAGGGGCTTGGACTTCCAGCAAGCATGCATGAGCGTGTTAGATAGGAGTGAATGGAGACAAATGGTTTTTAGGATTTGACATGCTGTTGGAGTGTGAGTAGGGTAAAATTTATAAAGGGATACAGGGAAACCGGCAGCCCAGACTTGAGTCCTGGAGATGGGAAGTATAGTGCCTGCACTCTGAAAGATGGGTGTTAATGTTGTAGTTTTAGAACTGTAGTGTGAGCATGCCACTGGCAAGACAGTGATGGGGTGAATGATGGTGAAAGGTTTTCTTTTTTTGGGCCACCCTAACTTGGTGAGAAATGGCCGTTGTGTTAGTAATAATAAAAAACATAAATATTTGACGTATAATTTTCATAAAATTGTCAGCAGGCAATAATAAAATAACCTAAAACAAATCTATGTTGGATAATTTGTGTTGGTGTGGCTCTGTTATTTTGAAAAGAATTCTTTTCTATCATTTAGGTAAATGAAAATGTCACGTTAGTTGCATTTGTATCCATTTACCTAACTTTTTGTTGATAGTTTTACCATTATTACTATCTTCATCTACACTAAACATTAACTAATTGGTGTGTCCTTGTAACTTTATAATTTTTGTCCTTAGTGTTCTATAGCAGTTCATCCTTTTGCTTAATGTGTAAGTGTTATTCTCAATAGCCATTTCTAGATCACATTTTCCAATTCATCTGTATTTGATTATATGATATAGAATGCTGAAATTATCTAATCACTATGTTGTCTCCCTAATGTAGCTTTCTCTCAGACTGTCTGTCTCTCTCTCTTTCTTTCTCTGATATAAATTTGATTTCATTAAATAGTGGTTTGTGCAGTGGGGACAATTACCCTGTATATTCAACAAATGAAAAAACTTTAAGTAAATTTTAATAGTATAACTCGACCCACTCACTCCTAATCTTAAGACCAGCTAAAAAAGTGTTGGTTATGTTGGGCAGCATTAGGTTTGGTTACACAACTCATCACGACAACCATAAATATACTGTATTTGTATATTGCATAGTATATAATGTTTGAGAATTTACATAACTACACCTGGGAATAAAGTACAAAGAAAAGTTTTTGTTTATGGTTTCCCTCAAAAATTTAGTATAATTATATAGTATTTTCTCTCTTCTTTTTTATTTTAAGATTTAATTTCCTTAGCTTGTTTATTTGTTTTATTATTATTGACAACCATCTTCTATTCTGGGTCTCAACACAAAGCTTTCACTGACATATTTTCAGTATCATGAGTTAGCTACACCTGTTTAATTTTGTCTTGGGCTTTATTCCTGCATAACTATCATTTTTGTTTTATATTCCATCTTTTCTCTATATCAGCTGTATTCTTTGGCTGCTCGTGGCTTGGTTAATAGCATCCTCGACTTGCATGCTGAGGATTCGGGCTCAGTCCGAGATCTTCAGATTTTTGCTCAGATTTTTAACCCAGAGAGTTAATCTAAACAAAATCATGTCTTATCTTATCTTCGTTTAACACACTGAGGGTCTGGGGGGTTGATCCTGGCATGGGTGAAATGTTTGGCATACTTCCTTGGATCTGCTGCCCCCTGTTCACCTAGCAGTAAGTAGGTACCTGGGTGTTAGACAACCATTGTTCTCAGTATTGTATACCATTCATGTACAACTGTTGTAGGTTGTATCCTGGGAACAAGATTAACCTATGCTGCCCATAATGCTCTGAATAACCAAGGACTTTCTGTATAGTATTCCAGTGATGTCAGCTAGGTCTGTAATAGTTGAATCATGTGTTTGTAGAAACAGATTATTATTTTTACTACTACTAATTCCTTGTTAAGCTTTACTCTGTCCTTTATAATATCGGTTAACTCTTGCAGTGTTTTCTGTACGAGTTGTAATATTCAAGTTTGCTTCATTATTGTATATGTTTCACTTGAATTTTCATTGTTCAGTTTGTCTATCAGTCCTTCCTCTGTTAAAAGATAAAGATTTTCTTTCTTTGTAAAGGTTACAATGTGTAATTACAATTTTGGTTTTATAAGTACAAAGAAAGTCACTATCATGCTGGGGCATGTTGGGCAGACTAATCCTAGTACATAATAACTATTTAAGTCTAGACAAGATAATAGTGATTAAGTTTATTAACCCTTTGACTGTTTCAGTCGTATATATACATCTTACGAGCCATCGTGTTTGATGTATATATGTACATGTATACTCAAAAATTCTAGCGGCTTCAAATCAAGCAGGAGAAAGCTGGTAGGCCCACGTGCGAGAAAATGAGTCCGTGTGGTTGTTACAACCCCTGAATGGGTTGCAATGATTATTATGTATATATATAATGTACATATATTACCTTTTCATATAATTTTATATTGCTTATATTTGCGATAGTAGCTAAATCGTAAATGTATTGCTTTATATTATTATTTGACTGTTATGTTGTTAGGTAGGATGTTACATATTATGTGCTCAGTTCAAGTCTTGATTGTCTAACTACTGTAATTATCGCTTGTGGCTCGTTAGACTGCCGGCTTCTGTTTCTGAGCTGCAGCTGTACACGGAGCTATAACGTGATCGAGGGGGGGGGGGTGTCCTCACCTCGCCTGAAGTTTTCAGTCTGGTCTAGACTCTCTTGGTGGTTGGACAGATTGTCTGTCTCATTATTCTTGTTAGTTCTGTAGAACTCTGTTCACAGAACATTGTACAGTGGACCCCCGCATACCGTTGGCCTTACATAACGTTAAATCCGCATACCGCTACATTTTATCGCCAAGATTTTGCCTCGCATACCTCTAAAAAACCCGCTCAACGCTGTTCGTCTGAGATGCGTCTATGTGCGGCCTGAGCCACGCTCACATGTTCCGCCGGTGGCATTGTTTACCAGCCAGCCTCCGCGGTAACATCCAAGCATACAATTGGAACATTTCGTATTATTACAGTGTTTTTGGTGATTTTATCTGCAAAATAAGTGACCATGGGCCCCAAGAAAGCTTCTGGTGCCAACCCTACAGCAATAAGGGTGAGAATTACTATAGAGATGAAGAAAAAGATCATTGATGAGTATGAAAGTGGAGTGCATGTCTCCGAGCTGGCCAGGTTGTATAATAAACCCCAATCAACCATCGCTACTATTGGTGATACAGCTGCTGCTGCTGTACCACCGTCAGCTGCTGCTGCTGCTGCTGCTGCACTGTCAGCTGCTGCTGCTGCTGTAGCACCGTCAGCTGCTGCTGCTGCTGTACCACCGTCAGCTGCTGCTGCTGCTGCTGTAGTACCGTCTGCTGCTGCTGTAGCATCGTCTGCTGCTGCTGTAGCAGTCAGCTGCTGCTGCTGTACCACCGTCAGCTGCTGCTGTAGTACCGTCTGCTGCTGCTGTAGCATCGTCTGCTGCTGCTGTAGTACT